AACAATCCCTTTCGAGTGTTGTTGTTTATTGCAATGTCATGGACTCTTATCATCCAAGGAGATTTTGAAGTTCCTGCCTTAATTCATCCAAACCTCCTGCTAGTCAGGTCTGTTAGGGATATTTTGGTGCAGATTCTTCTAAAAGTACCAAATTTGGTCCAGAGGTATAGCTTATACTACTACGATTTCTGCCGGGCGCCAAGAAGGGCGCCCCCTGGGGCCGCCATATTGGGCAAATCCAAAATGGCCGCCATCTGAGCTAAATATCAAGTGTAGTTCCAAAAGCGAAAGAGCTAGTACGATAAAAGTTTATATATTTATGGGGTTTTCGGGGTCAGAGAATCTGATTATGATGTTCTTACATCGATTTGAGGTTTCTTTAGGCTGTTACAATGGTCAAATCCAATATGGCTGCCATACGGGCAAATGCTATGTGTATACTTAGATTTTCTAATCTCTTTCTATCTTTGGGGGGATGTAATGTTGGAATAAAACTAATTTGAGGGTTATTAATCATTAACATGCACACATAAACATACTGACATACATTAACGTAAGGAAATAGTAAAAAGGAATGATTTAAGTACCAAATATTCTCGTAAATTTTTATTCTACGAAGCTCAAACATGGTGGACAATGGTGGACATGACTTCAACAAGAATTATAATTTGCTTGATTTGTCTATTTCATATTGGTCATCTACATGTTTGTTAGGTTAACATAGTTACAGTTACACAGTTGTGTATAAAGAGATAAATATAACAGGCAAGGTAGGCTTTCCGATATGGAATCTTTGGTTAGAAGTGATTACTGTCATGGTTTGTGTCCAGTTATATAATCAGTAATTTGAGCACAACAGTGCTCTCGATATATGTATGGCCTGTGCCCATACATTTTAGCATTAAGTCCCACTAGTCGTTGCTGTCAACGTTGTTGCTACATCCGCTCTCGCATTTGCAGAGCATCGTGCACCTGACACCGGCGCGATTGCACTTGCACCTTCCTGTGCATGACTTGAGGCAGCTGCAGTGCAGCAGAAGGGTGCATGCTTCTGAAGCGTCACGGAGTGTAGTCCTTAGTGGCTGCCAGGCACCCGTGCCATCTTTTTGCCAGCCCCAATCACTAAAGTCGGGAATTCGTTGCTGCACTGTGGTAGACTGATTCCAGTAGAAGCTGGCCTGAAGTAGCGCTCGTTTGACATGCTGGACGATCTGCAGCCCGGATATCCGCGCGAAGCGCGCCAACGCCGCCTCGCGGCGACACAATGACTTATTCGCTGCTCTATATTTAGAAACATGTTCCCGAGGCCCTTCTGGGTATAGGATAAAGGCGTATAATCGGTCAATTGAGGAGTTGTGGCGCTTGCAGAAGCCTTTCGACTATGCACGTAGGGCGAGAATAAATCCAAATGCTCGTAATTGCTACCTTGCTGGTTGGCGCTTTAGGTTTTCCTCTAGAAAAGCGAGTTTCCATTTCTTCTGTTTTACGCCCTGAACTTATTCTCGTACATATGGCGTCCCATAGATGGCGCGACGAGGCTCTCTTCGAGGGATTTTCCAGAGAATTTTCCACACAAGGATCGGCGATTCGGCTTAGACTGCTCNGAAAAACAAAACACGAAGAGGTGTGCGTTTTGATAATGCTTAGATGCGCGTTTTTTCGCAGTTATGTATACAGTAATTGTAGTCTCATAAATACTTTGATAAATTATTTAAATACTGTAACTAGAGTGGCTGAAAAAAACGGGTGGACCGACGGTCCATTTAACTTGTTAAATTTACTGGACCGAGAGAGATTTTGGTGGTCTCGGACCACGGTCCACCGCCTAACGTCGAAGACTGTTATATATGAGATTCTGTAGTGTACATTATGAATAGTTGGAATACAGTCACTAGCACTTAAATAATTACCCAGTAGTGAGGCTGCGGATTTCCCAGACTTTTCTCATCAAATTTTGGCACCAATATAGACGCAAGTGTGTACGTTCTTGAGCTTATTCGCTCCACTAATCACTCGCCTACCTTGTACTGAAATTAGTTTACAGATATTTGCTATCATATTGCTGTCAATTGTAATCTTGCACGAGCTGCTCTGGTTGTATCAACCATTGAGCTATTTTTTTAACGAGCCAGATGTGCCTCGCAAGGGGTTTAATGTACCTTATTACCTGACACCATAGAACGCACATTATGTATAGTACTTAATAATATTGTAATTATTCGCTCCTGCTTTTTGCAATCCGTCGTCACACTGACAGCTGCCATTGCTGCAATGGTTTGGCTGACCGATGCAATGGGGTAATGCTATCCCCCGGGCGTGGAGGGAGGTGACCGCAACGTGGCAGCACTAGTGTTGGGATAGTGTTAGGATTAGGGTTAGCGTCAGGGTTAGGGTTAGGGTTAGGGTTAGGGTTAGGATTAGGGTTAGGATTAGGGTTAGGGTTAGGGTTTTTGCATCATGATATCTCTCCCCACACCATAGATTAATTTTTGTGGATCACAATGCCTATATATAGCGCGGCGACACATATATATTTAGTGTGAGGGTTAGTGTTGGCGGTGTTGGAGTGAGGGTTATCGTTAGCGTTAACGTTTTGAACGTGATCGTCAACGTTATCACGTGACCTCCCTCCACGCCAGGGGGATAGCAACACCCGATGCAATGATGCCTTTGATAGCGGCCCGCCATCTATCGGAATTTAATTACACTAGTTTGAAGTGTTGTTTTTTTGTTTTGTTTTCGTGTAAGACTTAAATTTCACAATAAAATTCTGCATGCAAAACTTACTTGAACAACGTTTACGCGCCTTAAATCATATACATGGATGCTTCTGAGCTATTGAGTAATATTTTTGTGACAACATCTTTCAAAATAAAGATGCATGTATTCTGTACTGTATAGGCCCTGATTATAGATGATGTATTACAATTTTAGAAAGGCTACATTAGAAGATAGTTTTGAGTGCATTATATATAAAAATTCTGATTTTGTATGAGTTACTTTGAAAGTTGCGGACGTTACTCAACATGCTTTGACAAGGTTTTGAAATAAAAATACAAGGGCTAAATTGAGGATGAATGTCAATTTACAACAAGTTAGATGCGTGCTGTGTGCCTATAATAATAATTTCTCATTTTGAACAGAATAATACATTAAATTGTTACGGACATTACTAAAATTTGTTGAATTCACAATTTTATATACAAAGTATTGTAGACTTCTAAAACTGTAAAAGCATTGCAAGCATTGTGTTACAATGTGCCACAATTTTCGACAATATAGTAATCCGGACGTTACCATTGACAAATTGACAATTCTTGTGTAACGTCCGAATATAAACTTCAAAATTAAGTTATTTACAATCAAACAAGGACACATTTGATGGCAGAATTTGAAGGAAACCTACTTGTGAACACAATTATCAATTATACATATAAAGTGGGAAAGTATTTGCTACATAATTTGTGTTGCAATCCTGATACGGACGTGACTTTGACTTTGACATACCCATAACAAATTGTGATCAAATGTCAATAGTAACGTCCGAGCATATTTATGTCAATATCTGAACATTCTCCACTTGAATGATCGATATTTATATGTTTAATGTCTACATGCACAATAACATGGATATTGGACATGATATAATTTTCCATGCACATGTATTTAAATATTTTGTTGAAAAAAATAACGTCCAAACGTCACGGACGTTACTCGGGAAATATTTGAGAGACAGCCATTTGTCTCTATTTTCAACTTTCTCAGATGCATCTGACACAAATCCCTGATGTTACTTTCTGTGGAATGTTCCACTTTAACTGTGAGTAGGGGTGTTATGCCAACAGCAAGTCTAGATTTTATTTTTTACATCAAAGTTATGGACGTTATATTTGACAGACATGCAGGCACTGATTTTTTATTTGATTTATTTGATGTGTAATTGCATTCTTTGAGAAAAAAGAGTAGTGGTTATGAAGATAAGACATTCAATGTATGTATTAGTGATACTTCCAAGGTTATACTGTATTTGTGTGGGTTTTAAATTATAGTGCAAAATGTAAGTGTTTTTTTGACAGACAGGTAACGTCCGTGTCTACTAAATTCAAAAGAAGATAAAACATATATATTAAACATATAACAAATATATTTTAAGGATTTCTTTGTTTCATCAAACCAATTTATGTCATTTCTAACCATATATCTAAGACATTATAATGGAGGGGAATAAATTTTATATATTTATACAACATGTTAAGCATGCAAAAATGACACGTCAAAAAATGTCGAGATGTTGAGGATATAATGTGATAAGTTGGTAACAAAGTTACAAGAACTGTGTGCATAGATACCTGTGCACGCACGCGCGCATACCTAAAGGCCCGCTCAGGTCGGCCTACGATTTGACTATCGGCGACTACTTTAGCGCCGATTAGCAGCGTAGCAACACTCATGTCGACTTGAAGTCACTACGCTGCACATCGCCGATCACATCGTAGCGTTCCTGCATGAAACGTAGATGGGTTCGCAGCCCCAGTATTTGTACTACCACAAGCAGTTCTTTAGCACAAACAGAGCAAACTTGACGCCGGGACCAGTCTACATAAAACGAGTCACGTACGTGACCAACAAAATGGCGCTTACCAGTAAACATTATGTAACTTCGTAAATCTATCCTCAATTTTCTGAACATCGTTATAATCATGTGCAGAATTTTTTTTTATGTGATATATGGAAAACTTAATATATATTTGAGAAAAGGTTTGTGCAATAATCCCTCCTTGTAAACTGCTGACGAGTGGCGTGTAGGCTGCCATTTTATTAATCACGTGACTTTTGGTAATCATGTGACTCGACAAGCTGCGGTGAATTGCTGCCACTCACGATTTGTCGCCGACAGCCGCATAGAAATAAAACATGTTAAAATATGTGTGAAAAAACCGACATAAGCGGGCCTTAAGTTGAAGCAACATTCTGTCTTAATGTTTAATATTTATTATCTTTACAGGTAACACAGCACTGCACCTAGCAGTTATGCTAGGGAGAAAAGGTAATGTTTACAGATAGTACTACATCTATATATGCTAACGTGGATTTAGCTAAATTCTTAGTGATCCCACAATTATGTGATTGCATATAAAGACAAAACCTTGCCATTTTACCAATTTATGTGTAGTAATTAATGTTTACATGCTTTTTCAGAATGTGTTCATTTACTGTTGGCCCACAATGCACCAGTAAAGATAAAGAATAGTCAAGGCTGGAGTCCATTGGCAGAGGCGATCAGCTATGGTGATAGGCAAACAAGTAGGTCATTCATGAGCATACATGTCTTGCTACTTGTGATGTATGTTGGCGATATATTAGTCAGTTAGTTACCTCGAGTAGGGAGTCTCATGCAAGGTTCTCACGAATAAGCCTTAAATGAATTAGATGCAGAAATCAAATTAGCTATCTGCAATAATTTACTAATAAGATTAACGTTGCATTGATTGTATTAGATTATGTAATTATCTGTGAAAAGCCAGTGGTATGTGGTGCCCCCCAATAATGTGGTGATTGTATCCAAATACAGTTACTTCGCTACTGAGAAAACTGAAACAGCAATCCAGAGAAGCACTCGAGGAGCGAAGACCAAAACTCACTGATGCTCTTAAGCAACTGGGAGACTTTTACATGGAATTGAAGTGGGATTTCCAGAGCTGGGGTATGTAATGTTGCATATTCCATCACCATACTGATCGTAACAGCCTAACAATTAAACAATATTGCTTTCTTAGCATTTCGTTATGTGTCAGCAGAGTTGTGACGATAAGCAGGCAACCGGTTGCATCTCCAATGGCACCACGTTATAATGACCTCTTTTAATGAATGTTCCGCTTAGTGAACAAGCATCAGGAACATATCTTGTTCACTCAGTAAGTTATGGTAGTATTTGTGTATTATATAACAGTATGCAGTAGTAAGATTGATTAAATTAATGTTGGTGGCCACGTAAGGAGAGAGATGAGGTTCTTAGCAGAGTCCATGCACATGTTTAATTACCATAGACTGGAATATGTTCCTGCATGTTTGTCTTTTGTTTCAGTGCCGCTTGTATCGCGCATACTTCCCTCTGATATTTGTAGGATCCACAAGAGAGGTAGTAGTATCAGGTGAGTGCAGTGTAAAATAGTTTTGGCTGAAAACATGCTAAATCACATAACTACTTGCATTTCAACCATTATTTCCTCTGCCATTTTGTTGATTGTCGGATGTAGATATAGTAATCTCAGTCTCAGAACTCGGGTTAGTCTTGTAACTTAACCAGCGCTGGCCTCAATTTTACTTGTGAACGTGATTCTCGATTGGCATCCGACCAGATATCGCATGGGCAGTTATAATAGATACTGCATTGACATACACCTAGCAATCGGGAAACATACTTGCTGAGGACTAGTCTGTGACTGTTTTAACAGTCTGACAAAAGCTGAGGACAATGGGTCTGCATCAGATTTAACAGGTGACAGTCATGATGGACAGCACTGACACTTGGCTGTGACACATGGAGAATCGCACTGTGGACTCATCGAGCGTGTCACGTCACTATTGCAGGATGGACACCACTCTGCTGGACTTTAACGACATGCGGTGGGAGAGGGGTGACATTTCATTCATCTTTGACGGGGACGCCAAGCCGTCACACTCGCTTACCGTGCTTGACAACCGCGTTAACTCCTATCAGAAGATCAGATATGAGGTAAGGTCGTGTCTGCCCAGTGAGCATAAAAGATCTCGCTGCAAGCGTGGTTCCTGTAGTGTACTGCTGCTAATATGGATCCATTTCCATATCATCGCAAACAAAATTTCCGTAAATGAAGATTATACTGATTACCAGTGAAAAAAATACACGGGGGCGGCGGGCGAAATCGCCCCCGAAGTTCCAAAAAGAGCTCCCGAAAATGTTATTACGGGGGCGACGGTTAAAAAGAAAACTGTTCGAGAATCGCCCCCGAAATTGCACGCCTCGAAGTCAAGGCATTATCATTGGTTACACCAGCCGCAGCTGCAAAAACTGCTGCAAAACCCGCAATGCCTGTCTCGGCTATGCAGTTGCAATAGCGATTGTGTACGCTTGACCTGCCAGCCAACCGTTTGCGATCGCAATCGCATCATTCCCGCATATATATATGCATGCACACGCAGTGTTTCCCCTGCATTGACGCCAGCTAGGCGGCCTCCTCGCTCAAATTCTCAGCCACCACGCAGAAATTTATCCAAAACACCGCCTCGCTGACGAAAATCACTGTTCTTCCATCAATAAACTACACTTTATTCAACTAATATCGAAATAAAGCTCCAAACGTAAAACACAACGCCGCTACTCATAATGCTGTCAACACGCACACACAATACATGCTAGTCACAACACAGGCTAACCATACAAACACGTCTACTCGACGAAGTACAAGTAGTTATCCTCCGCAGTCCGCATGCAGTGCCGCGGAGGATATTGTTTTCGTGGCCGTTTCGGTTTCGTGTATGTGGCGGTGTGTACTGTGTATGTCTGTGTGTCTGTCCGCTCAATATCTTTCAAACCGTAAGAGTTAGAAACTTCAAACTTGGTCCACAGTTGCATCTTATGGGGCGAGAGATTTTGAGCCACTTTCACCCAAGGTCAAGGTCACAGGGTCATTAACTATATTTCGAACACTGATACGTACGTGCGCACGCAGAGCTGCGTGTGTTATGATCTCGATTTATTCCACTGCGCGCTACAATGCACTGGACCAATGACGAATGCTAACCGTTCCACGAACACAAACACAAACTAGAACAGAAACGACACGCATTCGCTTTATATGCAGAAGACTCGAATATTATCATATTTTTACGCGTAAAGTTCTTTCGCATACGAGACCCAAACTACGACTGGGCCGGGCGGTACCCTGATATCCGCGGCATAGTAGATTCTTGTGTTGGATACCAGATTTCAATGCTTGGTATCCCGCCGGGATAGTAAAAAAAAATCGTCAAAATCGGAATAGTGGTTGTTAGTCAGGGCTTTTAGGGCTATATAGCGGTTGTTTGGTGCAGATTCTTCTAAAAGTACCAAATTTGGTCCAGAGGTAGCTTATACAGGGCGTCAAGTTCCTATTTTTCCCTATTTTTTCCTATTTTCTGGGCAATTCCTATTTTCTCCTATTTTCTGGACAAATTCCTATTTTTTCCTATTTTCTGGGCAATTCCTATTTTCTCCTATTTTCTGGACAAATTCCTATTTTTTCCTATTTTTGAGGGCTTTTCATTTTTCTGAATCCAGAATTGTATAAGGCATGGATCCTTCTTAGAATGCAGGAATTTACATTTCAGGTGACCCAATTTTCACAAAATTTCCGCGAGGGAGGACCCCCACACCCCCACCCCTTACTTTAAATTAACGTAATATACTCTTTACTATCACAGATTTTATTTCAGTAAAGTTGTTTCTCAGTTGGATGTGGTATGTGTATCCAGAGGGGGGGTCCAGGGAGTACGGACCTTCCCTTTTTTACCCCAAAAAAGGGAAAACACATAAAAGATAATTTTCTGCTTAAAAATTTGGAATTCCATCTTGCATTCTAGACATCAAAATTACTGCTCAGATGCTCTCAGAATGCACCAATTTTTAAAAATGTTCTTGGGGGAGTTCCCCTTAACACCCCCCCCCAAGTTGCAACGTGCCTTAGACACGTCGCATAAGCTGCCTTCGGCACCTTTTTATAAAAGTGCCCTTTATTTCTTACCCCCCCCCCTTTTCAAAAAGCCGGATCCGCCCATGTATACATTGGGTTTTTTGGGTTAGCTACATGTATGGGTGCTTATGCATGTATAAACTGTTTATCAATTTTAACATGCATTTCTCATTAAAACCTCAAAATATTGTTCGCATGTGATGTAACTCCAAATATGTATATTAATAAAACCATTTGTGGTGGATCGGGATGGCTGTAGGGGTGTTGGGAGGCCATCTAACGCAACAAATATTCCTATTTTAACATATATTTTCTCACCAAAATTCCTATTTTTTCACATCTGAAATTCCTATTTTCCTATTTTTTGAGCGTCACTTGTCACTTGACGCCCTGCTTATACCATACTATTACGATTTCTGCCGGGCGCCAAGAAGGGCGCCCCCTGGGGCCGCCATATTGGGCAAATCCAAAATGGCCACCATCTGAGCTAAAGATCAAGTGTAGTTCCAAAAGGGAAAGGGCTAGTATGATAAAAGTTTATATATTTATGTTGTTTTCAGGGTCCGAGAATCTGATTATAATGTTCTTACATCGATTTGAGGTTTCTTTGGGCTGTTACAATGGTCAAATCCAATATGGCTGCCATACGGGCAAATGCTGTGATGTGTATACTTAGATTTTCTAATCTTTTTCTATCTTTGGGTGGATGTAATGTTGGGATGAAACTAATTTGAGGGTTATCAATTATTAACATGCACACATAAACATACTGACATACATTAGTTAAACCTCACATACACACAAACCCACACCCACAACCACACACACACACGCACACACTCATACGCACATACACGCAAGCCATTTAGTCTGTCAGTTCTGTTTATCGTAAGGAAATAATAAAAGGAATGATTTAAGTACCAAATATTCTTGTAAATTTTTATTCTACGAAGCTCAAACATGGTGGACAATGCGGTTTTCAAACACACGGCGGAGCGGTTGGGCTCTATGAAAACCCAGAGGCCCTATTACTATTCATTCTTGCGGGAGCTGATTGCGCGAGAATAGTGGAAGAATTTGAAGCTGCACACGACCCACCTCCATCATTTACTGCACATCATGAAGGATATCCTCTCTTTCGTCACTGTGGTAGAACAGTTGGGGAATCCTTTCCTTGCAAGAGGTCTTGACCTGATAGCACTTGACACGCAGGATGTAATGGAGCAGGAAGTTGCTGCCTCTCTGTCCCAAATCCATGACACTGGCAAAGCTCTTCATACTGCATACGTCAATGAACGGTTATTAAGGGCATCAACCCCAATAACTAATACTATCCCACGGAAGAACGCGTTAACCTTTGCTAATCGACCCGACAAGAAAAAGAGCAGGAAAGACATTGGCACACAGTAGCAAAACATGGCCTTAGTGACACAACTGTTCCTGTCACTCCAGTCACGTCCAGATGCTGATATAGCAGACTTCCGATTCAAAAATCAAAGAAAACCACCAAGTTTAGCGGATCGAGGGTCGCTGCGATTTGGAACGAAGTCCGAGATTCTCAAATGCCTCGATGTACCCAATGGGAGTGCAGAAGCTGCGAAACATGCCGCGGTTGTGGTGTTGGATATGGCAGCTGTGATCCACATGGTACGTCCTACAATAGCAAAGACATTCAATGAGTAGGTACAGCTCCATATTGAACCATATATAAAGGCACAAATACACAGTGATACTCAACGAATCGACGCTGTATGGGATAACTACCCTGAAGAAAATAATCTGAAAGCTATTTCGCAGCTACGACGCGGAAATGGTCCCAGGACAAGAGTCGGCAATGGCAACACTCCAATTCCGAAGCGCGAGTGGAGCAGTGGATTCCTCAAGAATGAGAATAACAAGAAAGAACTGTTCTCATTCATCGGTGTGCAGATCGCAAAAGTTGACATGGGCGGAAAGCTTTGCCTAAGTACCCACTTTGAGAACGTGCTTTCAAACAGGAATTGTGACCTCGAGTACCTTCAGCCATGCAACCATTCCGAAGCGGACACCAGAATTTTCCTTCATTTGGCTCATGCTGTGAATCAGGGATACAAAACAGCCTATATCCGAACCGTGGATAGCGATGTTGTTGTTTTGGCAGTCCGATTTTTTTAGAATCTCGGCCTATCGGAGCTCTGGGTAGGCCTCGGTAGCGGCAAACATTACCGTGACATTCCCGTCCATGTCATCTTCACCAAGCTTGGTACTTCAAAATCCTTCGCACTACCCCTCTTCCACAGCCTAACTGGGTGCGATACAACATCACAGTTTTTTGGTTGTGGAAAGAAGACTGCCTGGGCAGCATGGGCCAGCTTACCAGAGTTAACTAACACATTGGTGACCCTCACGAGAAACCCTGATGTCTTCACTCTCGAGTCGATACATATGCAGCGGATCGAATGCCTAGTTGTTCTCATGTAGAGCAAGGGATGTGGTGCAGATGGTGTCAACGAGGCCTGGCATCGCCTATTCACCACTGGAAGCAGAATGTTGGAGAACCTCCCACCTACACAAGCAGCACTGTTCCAGCATGTCAAACGAGCGCTACTTCAGGCCAGCTTCTACTGGAATCAGTCTACCACAGTGCAGCAACGAATTCCGACTTCAGTGAGTGGGGCTGGCAAAAAGATGGTACGGGTGCCTGGCAGCCGCTATGGACTACACTCTGTGACGCTTCAGAAGCATGCACCCTTCTGCTGCACTGCAGCTGCCTCAAGTCATGCACAGGAAGGTGAAAGTTCAATCGCGCCGGTGTCAGGTGCACGATGCTCTGCAAATGCGAGAGCGGATGTAGCAACAACGTTGACAGCAACGACTAGTGGGACTTAATGCTAAAATATATGGGCACAGGCCATACATATATCGAGAGCACTGTTGTGCCCAGTTGAACTTACTGATTATATAACTGGACACAAACCATGACAGTAATCACTTCTAACCAAACATTCCATATCGGAAAGCCTACCTTGCCTGTTGTATTTGTCTCTTTATACACAACTGTGTAACTGTAACTATGTTAACCTAACATACGTGTAGGAATAGATGACCAATATGGAATAGACAAATCAAGCAAATTATAATTCTTGTTGAAGCCATGTCCACCATTGTCCACCATGTTTGAGCTTCGTAGAATAAAAATTCACACACACACGGCTTAATTATACGTGTGTGCCTGTGTGCGTGCTTGCGTGTGTGCCTGCGCGCGTGCGTGTGTGCGTGCCGGTGTGCCTGCGGGCGTGCTTGCGTGTGTGCCTGCGCGCGTGCTTGCTTGTGTGTGCCGGTGTGCCTGCGGGCGTGCTTGCATGTATGCCTGCGCGCGTGCATGTGTGCGCGTGCGTGCGTGCCTGCACGCGTGCCTGCGCGCGTTCTTGCACGTGTGCCTGCGCGCATGCGTGCCTGCATGCGTGCGTACGTGTGTGCAGGTGTACCTGCGGGCGTGCCTACGTGGACCCGTAGGACCAACGACCCGTAGGATTATAGAACGGTAATCCATGGAAAATTTTAATGAAATTCACACGTATATTTTTCCCTGCCGGCACACTCGTGTGTCATTCCCGATTGTAGCTTTTTTGTCAATTCCCCGAAAGAGTTTTGCTGTCGCTCTCTCATAGTCCAGCAATGCCAACCCTCTACATTTTAGTAGTGATTAGTACCACGCTGAAACAATCGTGCCCCCCTCCCCGTACTTCAATCAATAGGCGTGTTCACACAAGAAAAACCGCGCTGCTCATCCCGCTAATAGCGGAGATAATAGTGAGCTAATTGTGTCGTTGTTCACACAAGCGGAAATATCTCGCTAATCGCCGAGCGGGATAACACGCCGCGGTGCAAATAAGCGCGCTTATTCCAAATTAGCGCAGTCGGAAGTGTTCTTTGCAGCACGCTATTTTGAGCGCGATTTAGTGAGCTAATTGCGTTCACACTTGTAAAAAGCTCGGTTTTTCGAGCGGGCTGCAAAAACCGGGTTTTGCAGCCCGCTAATTCGCGCCAGTGTGAACGCACCTAATGCCACCCCTGCCAGCAGGCACGTACGCAGCGTCGATGGATGTGCACAGCCATACACGTGCCTCGCGGGCCGCTTTCTCAAACCCCCTGAGCTTCCAGGGCCCTTACGCGGGCCCTGGACCCCAACCGCAAGAGACTTCGCATATAAACAATCGATCCTCCTCGCTCGTACAGGCAGACACTCCACTATTTGCGCTAGCCGTAATACAATGTTTCATGTGTGTGGCAGCGTATGTACTACAATTTAGAACGTGTGTGTGTGTGTGTAAAATTAATAATCCCCCCCCCTCGAACTACTAATTTGATGGCCAGAAACTACAGATTGCTTCAAATATATTGGCATCATATGTTGGCATCTCTGTAAATGTGATCGTGTATACGCGAATATATAGTATCAAGCGAACCAGACAATGCGTCTAGACAATACGTCTGCAGTGTACTGTGGAGGCGTATGTAATATCAGGAGTCTATCAAAATTTGAAAAAGTAACCCCGGAAAAGAGTAGCCTCCCCGAAGTGGGAAAAGTAGCCCCCGAAATTTTTGAGGAGTTGGAAAAAGAGCCCCGGAAATTTTTTTCACATCCGATTACTATGTTATGGTGTCATTTCACTCAACATATATGCTTGCAATCATGATGTTTTGTTTTGTTTTATTCCTTACAATTAATTAATGTGTGAAGGAGTCGGAGGTAGAAATAGAGGAAGAGGTGGATATTCTGATGTCAAGTGACATAGTGGCTGCACAGATGTCCACAAAGTCTATCACATTCTCACGTTCTCAATCGGGATGGTTTTTCCGAGAAAACAGAACGGTAAGTTGTAGCAGGGTATTCGCTCTGCATTCATGCATTCAGACATTGCTATACCATATAACGTTATAGTGCCAATCTTCTTGTTCAGCAACGACAGAGTCAAGCAATATCGCTGCGGTCCATGCATGTTCTCAGCGCATTTTGTTAGCGTGTGAGGTTACTAGTTTGCACCAGTCTGGTATAGTGGCATGGGTGGCATGCATAACAGTTGCATAGCTAGCTGTCGTTGCCACGATGATAAGGGCACTCACGCGTGGCATAGTGACGAGAGTTGGTGTTCAATGTCTGCAGGAACTCGTGGGTCCATTCTCTGCTGACTTCTATGCAATCAACGGCATGAACCTCGCGTCGCGCAAGCGGCGTGAGCATCTGTCCGAAGAGGACCTTCAGAAGAACAAAGCTGTCATTGAAAATCTGAGCAAAGGCAACACGGCCGTTATTGACACGACGCTGGAGACGAACGTATGTGCAGCAGCTCTCTTTATTATAAACTCATTATTATATATCCTCCCCGCGTGATTGATATGTGTACATGCACGGGTGCATGCGTGCATGTGTGCATGCATCCCTGTGTGTGTTAGTGAGTGCATGTTGGAGAGCGTGTGGATGCATCCAAGTGTGCGTGTGTGAATGTGTGTGCGCATGGGTGCGTGCGTGTGTATGTGTATGCGCATTGGTGCGTGCGTGTGTATGTGTATGCGCATGTGTGCGTGTGTGAATGTGTGCGCGCATGGGTGCATGCGTGTGTATGTGTATGCACGCGTGCATAATTGCATCTCTGTATGGTTTTGCAGCTAGCTTTTTGCCAGCTGATAATAGGGGCTGAGATACCAGATATATGCCCAATGTTCAGATGCAAAACTGTACTAACTGTCACCTATTTCTATGTTTTGATTTTGATCATTTCAATATTTGCTTGATGTATCATTTGATACCTGTCCATTCAGATGGATGTTAAAAGCGTATGGCACCTGAAATGTGTGAAAGACCTTTGCAGGGGGCACTATATAATCAATAATTTATTACCCTTTCTTCAGCAACAGCTGCTACTGGTTATGATACTCAGTCAAGTGATGGTTATCGTGTTTGCTTACTTCAGCATTGTGTTACTGACTGTGCCTCTCGTCTAGCAAGCATGCACCTGATCATTACGCATTCGATAAAATTCTACGCAATTTTCCAAGTGAATGCACAGTTTTCTATGCTACTGCATATATTCATAATTGCATAAATCTAACTAGGTGTGGTTTGTCTGCTGTCTGTTACAAGCACGAATTTGCATGAATTCTACTAAGATAGAATCTAGGTTATCTGAAATGCTGTTATTCTTGTTAAATTACTTATTACCTTTTGAAACTAGTTGATTACCTTACCACATATACACCTCATCATACTGAATTGTTAGCAATGAAAATAGCGGTGTGAAAATTGGTAGTATAAATGTTGATTATTAGTGTCCTTACGTCCTAATATCACATAATTTCCCAATTTATATAATGTAATAATTGGTATGGGTATTAAGGTATGGAATTACTCATCTTCATTTCCATAGTACAGGGTTTGCACAGGTCCTGTAAAATTGTAAAAAAAATCCTGGAATTTAAACATGCCAAAATGCTGGAACGCCCTAGTAAATGACCTAGACTATGGACCTAGAAATTTATAGAAAAATTTATAATAATATAATCCTATAATGAAAGACTATTATTGTTTGATATTGGAAATTTCATTTAATTTAGCGCGTCTATCTTGACTGAGAAGCATTGAATTTGCTTCATGCAACGGTTTATTCACAAATTATTGATTAGATCACACAAAGATTGTGTTTAAATAAAATCTCTCAATAGTCATTAGTGGAAAATTGACAATGACGTTTTTAAGTCGTGCAAAGCTCTTGGAAAAACGTTTTACCTTTCATGTACGAACACTGTTATTTCTCTTGCAGGTGCAACAACACAAGCGAAACTCGTTACCACCTCCTCCGCAGGCGGAAGTTACGTGGGAGCATTACATTAGCACAGTGCCGGCGCCTCATCCTCATCTTGGCCGACAACTCGTCTACAAGGAATCATTAAAGGGATTCAGGGCAACGGTGGCCATGAGCAAAGAGTTCCCACTGTCAATCGAAGTGTAAGTACAGGAGGGGGACATGTAGGTGACATCTCACAGTGCATGTTACAGTGGCATTATTACATGAGGTACCATGTACTTCATTCCATTAGTAGCACTAGCATGTATTCTGTGCTGAATGCTTGCCTGCATGTAGCATGCAGTGGCCGACACCATTCCATAGCAGGGCGTCTTTTAATTGAATGCTTCTTAAATTGTGTTCTTTATGAGGTGAACCAATCTGGTGAAACCAATCTCGTTTTGTGTGTTTTGTGACAGAAGTTCAAAGGAAAAATCATGTGCAACTCACTACTGGAATTCTATATTGAGTTAATAAAAGTGAGATCATCTTCTTTTCATCAAATCCTCATTTTTTTATTTAATTGAATTCAGGTTACTGGATGTCTTGGAAGTGATTGCCCCGTTCAAGCACTTTAGCAAACTAAGGGACTTTGTTCAGATGAAGCTGCCTCCAGGTTTTCCTGTCAAGATAGGCAAGTGTTACTTTAATGCTTTATTCGCATATCACACAATCAGCTCGTGCATTAAAATTATGTAGTGGACCCTGAAACAATAGAAAAGATAAAGACAATGATCTTATAGAAGAGGTAATTAAAAAGAATAAAACAATGCTCGTTATTTCTCAATAATACCATAAACCGTAATAAAAACCTACACACATTAAACCTGCATGTTTTAGTGCATGTGCGTGCGTGCGTGCGTGCATCCATGCGTATGCACCTACGTGTGTTAACTGAATATTTACCTCCGCCCAACGGAGTTGGAGGAGGTTATGTTTTTGCTCTCGTGTGTTAGTGTGTTCGTGTGTTCGCGCGATCGATATTAGCGCGTCGAGTCGTATGACGTATGTCGTTGGCGGTCGGTCGATATCACCCAGCGAGCCAGCGAGTCAGCAAGCCAGCTCGTAACACATACATGTTACATGGGAGCGTTGGCGTATATCGTGGGTTATTCGTGTGTTCGTGAGTCGTATAGCGTATGGCGCATGTCGCTGGCGGAGGTATGCACTCCGTGAGTGCACTCTGTCTAGTTTAGTAATGAAATTATGTATGCTTGCAGACATCCCAGTTTTACCTACGATCTCAGCCAGAGTGACGTTTCAGGAGTTTCATTTCCGGGATGATATTCCAGCCAGCTTGTTCCAGATCCCTCGCGATTACCAGGAAGACTGTGGCCGCTTCCCGGAGTTATGACAGCTAGAGGAACACTGGGCAATTGTTGGGGTAAAACTTCTTCTTCTTTGCTTCACAGTCTGGGCTCTTCTTCCTGTCTCTTCCCATAAGTATGTAGTGAGCCACCAGGCGTATGAATAGAAGGTCTGGACTATCTCTACATGACGCAGATCAACTGCTCTACCTCATGATTGTTTGAGTTGCATATCACTCGATGCCAATTATCGATTATCTGTAAGTTAGTGATTAACGTGGGAATTAGTTTCCCCTATTTTTCACATACGTTTCCAACTTTCAATCACACATCACCTGCAAGGACGTTAAACTTCATATTGCTTGCTCCTGTTACCTCCTTCATTATTAACTTTAGCATTAATGTCTCCATCTGCATCTCCTACCCCCTTCTAACTTTCCTTCTGCCTCTCTGCCCTCTCCCTCTACCTCTTCGTCAACCTCTCTCTCTCTCTTTTTCCCTCTTCCTCTCCATTTCCTTCTCCCTCTCTCCCTTATTGTCTCTCACACTCTTACACCCTCTCTCTCTCTCTATCTTCCTCTCTAACTCCCTCTCCCACTCCTCCCATTTCTCACTCTCCCTTACCTTATCTTTCCCTTCTTCCTCTTCAGTATCCCTTCCTTTGCTCATTCTGTTTTTCATTTTGTCTGTCCCACCCACACACTACTCGCTGTCACTCTGTCACTCTGTAAAGTCGTTGCTCACAGCGTGTCACTTTAATAGCTTGCCTGCTTTTTCTGCCTTATCTAATTTCAAGGTGCAATATTACAGGTTCTTGATAGCATGAGATACTTACAACGAGCACCAATACAACTACGGCGGCGCCACCACCTGAGCTGTCTACCGGACTATCGTTGCTTGCAGAGCGAGCAGATTATTGCATTTGACGTTCCCATGGTAATGATGGGGTCTAGTTTTGACTGTACCATTATTGCATTTGTACCACGGTAGCCTCAGTTGTTGTTGCTGTTGCTGTTGTACACAGCGAACACAACCTACACTATTAAGTTAAGCTAACCTCATAAGCAAACCATACAAATGCGGTGATGTACACTTCTTTTGTGTCTAGATCACACGCAGTGTACATAAGAAGATGCAGTTTCTTTAGCATGACGTTCACTTGCTTCTTCAACCTTCTTGATCTATCACTCTTTGGTTTAGAGAATGGGGAACTATGTGACTTTTTACTGTTCTATAGGAGTTTTGTATATAATGTGATACAATTAATTATACTGTGTGCACTATATGGTTTGCCGACTAAGCTTGACATGAGATTAGGTGGTTGGTGGTGAGCTTGCATCATCTAAATTTCACTTGTATGTGACTTTCTACGAGGAAAACCAGTAGTACTTATAAAAGAGACCTCGGTCACTTGAGGTCTATTTTGTGCTCGAAATTGTAATCGTAATCAGCTGTAGTATATTAGACCCATATTAATTTATATGTATACATTATTTATGTAATTTATTGCCGTTATTAATCTTATCAGCTCTCATGAGTGTGTCAGCGTGATAGCTGACGTGGGTGTTTTGTGTAGAATGTTAGATTGATAACCGATATCCATTAACTTATGTGACCCTTTGTCCCAGTTGTCTATGTAAAATACTGAACGTTTTTCTTTCCATTCCTGTTACACTTTCACTTGCACTCGCGCACTCCCTCACATACTATCACAAAAAATGGACGAGAACGCATGCTATCTATGTAAGTTAGGTAGCCTCAATTACTCATCTCAGACTCGTTTAGTGGTCATATAGTGACATCTATCCTTACATCTATCCTACATCTATCCTACATATATCCTTACATCTATCCTGACATCTATCCTTACATCTATCCTACATATATCCTTACATCTATCCTACATTTATCCTTACATCTATCCTACATATATCCTTACATCTATCCTA